TCTAAGAAGCTGCACAATGTCTTCAATCTGAGTTTCCTCAATTGCAGCGAGTACAAGGAGCGTGCCTGGGAGGCCCACCTGGGAGAAACCTTGACCATCAAGTGTGACACCAAGCAGCAGGGGATGACCAAGGTGTGGGTGACGCCAAATAATAAACAGGTGCTAGATGAGGTGGCCAACAGCACAGTGACAGTGTCCAAGGATGGCAGTCTTCATTTCCAGAAGGTGCAGGTTGAGGATGGGGGCGTGTATACCTGCTACGCCATGGGGGAGTCTTTCAACGAGACACTGTCTGTGGAGTTGAAAGTGTACAATTTCACCTTGCACGGACACCACGACACCCTCAACACAGCCTATACCACCCTTGTGGGCTGTATTCTCAGTGTGGTCCTGGTTCTCATCTACCTGTACCTCACCCCTTGCCGCTGCTGGTGCCGGGGTGTCGAGAAGCCTTCCAGCCATCAAGGAGACAGCCTCAGTTCTTCCATGCTCAGTACCACACCCAACCACGATCCTATGGCTGGTGGGGACAAGGATGATGGTTTTGATCGGCGGGTGGCCTTCCTGGAACCTGCTGGACCCGGGCAGGGTCAAAATGGCAAGCTCAAACCTGGCAACACCCTGCCAGTGCCTGAGGCGACAGGCAAGGGTCAGCGGAGGATGTCGGACCCAGAATCGGTCAGCTCGGTCTTCTCTGATACACCCATTGTGGTGTGAGCAGGATGGGTTGGTGGGGAGATTCTGCCCCAGGAGAGGTAATGCACCCCTGAAGGATATGAGGGGATGGAAGAGAGGGCTGCCTGCCCAAGGGAGTGTGTTCCCCCCGACCTCAAGGGAATTGGTCAAGGGTACAACAGGCAAGACCCGAAACGGGGTGTGGCTGCCACGATTTTCAAATATGGATATATTAATCCTCAGGCAAATGCTACGCCCCTACCCAGAGCCTTGACAGTTCTCAATGTGGTGGAGGAAGAGGAGTGTGTCTGAGTTGGTGGCAATAAGGAAGGAGTAGGGGGAAGAGCAGATTCCCTAAGCTTTTTTGAGGTCATCTCTAGCTCCTTAAGAGAAAATCATTTAGGAAAAAAAATCATTTTTTTCTGTCTCTGCCCACCCACACCGGTGATGTTGTGTGTGCTGGGGGAGCTTCCAATGGAGCCACATTGAGGAAAAGCTGTATTATCCTCTTTAGCCAGGAAGTCACACTTCACAGCTGGGGAAATTGGAAACCTTTTGGAAAATGATTCAGGAGAAGGCTGAGACCTCAATCAATAACACTCCCCAAAGCTGTTGTGAGACTTCTCACTAATGCCCTCCTCTTTCCTGATGAGCCCTGGGTGGATGGATCTTTGCAGGAGCCTGGCCTGTTGCCTGTCAGATATGGCAGTGATGTGACATGTGGTATCTGTGTCTTATCCTGAGACCAGTGGTACAGAGGGATACAGCATGAACCGAAGGGTCCATGTCACAGCATATCAGATGCCAGCACAAAACTGGTAGATGAGGGATAAACTCCAGATTGCCTGGTGGAGGAATCAGTTCCCTCCCTGGTTGGTGAAACCCTGGGTTCGCATTTGATTCCCAGCACCTGTGTGTCGGACCAGGGTGGGCGGTGCTGAAAGCAGAGCGTCTATGGATGCGTGCCACCGACGTGGGATGGGGGCCACTTCGCACTAGGGGGAGGAGGGTAGATCAGCCTCTATTTTGTAGCATCCAGCTGGACCTACCTGATTTTCTGTGTATGCTGTCCCTTCATTCAGTCTCCTGATCAAGCTTAGATGGGATTCTGAGTTTTCCCTAATATGCTGCTCTGTAAAGGATGGAGTCCTGAAAAGTCTGGCCCCAGCTGGGTTAGACTGGGCTTGGGGATGGAGGGGACTGGGTATCTCCTCTATGTTGACAAAGCCACCTTGCTCCTCTCTTAGCGATCTCACCCCTGCTGCAAACCCAAAGCATGGGGTTTCTTCATCCGAGGAGTTGGGATTGGGTGGTGTCTGCCTCAGAAGAATGGCAGTTTGGAGAGTGGCTTAGAGTTCTGCCCTCTCCACAGGGTTCCAGACAGTCTTGTAACAGAGACGGTCAGTGGCACTAAACTTTCCTTAAGTTCTACCACCCCCATCTCTCTCAGCCAGAGGTCTGTGCTGTTGTGGTGGTCAGGCCAGAGGAACTTAAGAACAGACCCAACATTCCATTCCATCCAAGGTTGCAGAGTACTTTGGATGTAGAGATGACTGCTCCCTTTGACCCTACAGCAGGCCCTAGGTTGCTCTGAGCTTTGGGAAGGGGACGAGCAGGGGAAAGGTAAAAAATGTTCTCTGAATATAGTCTTTTTCAGTCTCTACCCTCTCTCCCACCAAGCTCCCTGTCCATTGAAAGTTCTGCAGATCTTCTAGTTTTCTGATCTGCTCTTTAGGTTCCAAGAAATGTCATTTACCTGCAGATGAGGGCTTCTTGCTAGGAGGGCCTAACTCCTGCTGCCTATTAAGATTCAGGGAGGAGACTGGAACGCAACATCTTCCCGTTGTCTGTTCCTGGGATGTCAAGACTGCTGTCCATCCTTTTATTAGTAACGTAGTTTTGTCGAGAGAGGTGCAGCATTTCCCTCAAGTACTTGCATGCTCATAGGGATGCATGCTTATAGGTGTGCATGCACACTAGCACCTTGATTTCCATCAGGACAGTGATTCTTCAGTCCCCACTAATGTCCACTTCCGGAATGGTTTCCACCTGTGTGCACAACTTCATGCACATAATTTTCTTGCCCTCTAGGAGAGACAGTGACCATGCCAGGCTCCACACATACAAACTCTATTACTTTTAATTTCTGAACTGCCTGAAGCTTCCCCTACATCTCCATGGCACTGAATAACTTCTCCACAAAGGCTGGAGTTTGGAGAACCACAGGTTGAAGACCTTGGGAGGAGTGTTGGTGAGGAGCTAACTGCTTCTTCCGGCTCCTCAGAAACCTTCCTTGGATTAAAGAGGATATATATGAGAAATAAATGTAGAACTCAGTGATGGACCCAGAAGAAAACTGGCAGGGGACCCAGCAGCTGTAAGCTGCTCCTCCTATGTTAACTGCCCTGGTAAGACAGGGGCAGGAGGGAAAAGTTGTCTGGTTATATTCCAGGGACTTCTGAAGATTCTGATACTGAAGCTGTAGGAGCCAGGACTTCCTCCTCAGATTTATGAGGGAACCAGGGAAACTCTCACCTCTATGCTGTATCTTCCCCTCTAGGCACCATCTAGGGCCATGAAAATCTTTAAAGTGAATGTCAAATGAAGTAGGTCTTTTGGAGCATTCTAGCCAAGTTCCTGAGGCCTAGGAAGGCCATTTTCTTCACAAGTCCTACCCAGTTTAGGGTATAATAAAAGGCCCCGAGGCTCTGAATCTCCCTACTGAATCCACTAGGTTGGCCAGTATCTACCAGTTTAAGACCAGTAATGTGCCTGGCTGCCCCACCAAGAGATTGAACTGCTTAGCCTCTTCTGGTGGTTTTAGCTGATAGAATCCAAAGGTAGCTTCTTACTTGGACTGGGCACTCAGCATATATAAGCTCACTAGAACCCTGTGTAGGAAACTGCCAGGTCTGGTTATAAGAAAAGGTTGAGAGATCACCCCCACCCCCATGAACCAGATAAGTCTCCCGGGAAGCAGGTGTCCCTGGAGACAGAGTATGACAGGGCTCTACAATCTGTCTGTGTGGTTATTTGTGATCTTTTTTCTTTGCCTGTGTTTATGAGCTCCTAGGAAGGAGCCAGACGAGGGTATACCCCAGCTGGGAAGAGAAAAGCCAACGGATTCCAGTTTTCTGTGCGTTCTTACCTCTGTACTTCCTTGTAGCCCTGCTGGCGAAGCAAGCAGGCCTCCCCCCTGTCCAGGACCCTAGTCCTCCTACTTGTGTACTCCCAGGCTGGCAATCCTTGGAGCCCCTGGGCTCTGAAAACTAGACAATGATCATTAAACCTGGCTTGAGTCTCTGTTCTGGCATAGTCTGTGACTGGTTTATTCATCTTTTCAGCCTGTGGGTGGGGTTCACTATACCTCAGAAAGGTGTGGCCTATCTAGGGAAAGAATATTTAAATGCTGTTCCAAGGGCACAGGTAGAATCCACATCTAGGCATTAAGATGGAGCAGGGGTCAGCCAACTTTTTCGGTGAAGAGCCAGACAGGATACACGCTGGACTTTGCAGCCCTTATGGTCTCTGTTACAACTGCTCAGCTGCTCCGTTGTGGCAGGAAGGCAGCTACAGACGGTACACAAATGAACGACTGTGGCTCTGTTTGATAAAACTTTATTTATGGACATTGAAATGTGATTTTCATATAATTGTAACATGTATTTTGAGTTTTTTCAACCGTTAAAAATGCAGAAACTCTTATTAGCTCAGGACCACACAAACCCAGCCAGTGGGCTGGTTTTGGCCAGGAGACCATAGTTTGCCAACCTGATAGATATTCTCAAAAGAAATGTCACTGATGCTTTAGCAGGAGAGAGTAGAAATTCCATGACTTGGGGCTAGAGCCTATAGATAATGAAGGCTTTCTGGATCCCTGGGGAGGAGGGTTGCCTCACTGCAGAGTTCTCTTAAAAGTCTGGATCGAGCCTACTAACTGGACTATGGAAAAATGCTTGGACTGGGTTAAAAGGAAATGATGGAGAGCAGCTCACTTTCACAGGATTTTGATTATTACCAGTATATGTTCCTGTTGTGAATGGCAACCATTTTAGTTTGGCTTAAAGTATATTAATGTAATGGACAGATTAATATTCACTGACAGTGTAATGTGTCCTAGGCATTGCATAGAACAGAGAAATGCAGTCCCCACTTTCTTGGCACAGAGATAGCCTACCAGAAATTGGACTGGATTCTTCTAAACTCTGAACGTGTAATTGCTTTCGCTACTCTCTTGGTACTGTGGGAAAGGAATTGTCACGGATTCCAAAAGGGGAGAGGAAGTAGTCTAAGGAAAAAACGAAATTAAAAGGATCAGAATTTGAATAATTACCTAATTTCTTTTATTGATAAAATCTTGACCAAAGGGCAGACCTCCTGTGTCTGGAAAGTTGTCTTTTTCTTTTCGTGAGGAACAACCAAAGTGGTGAGGGATGGAGAACCCCCCCCCCAGCCAGCCACATCAGACAAATCAACCTTGGCAGTCAATGAAATGACAGATGTTGATGCTAGAGTGCCCTCAGAATTGACGTTTATGTAGCATTTTTTAATCTTTTCAAAGCAGATTTTGCTGTGGCTAAATTTAGCCAAGAGGATGAGCTGGTAGAGTCTGGGGAAGACTGGTGAGAGTTCACCCCTCTGTGTTGATTTGTGCCAAGCCTTCCCTGAGCCTGAAGAATTTTGATACTCCTTTCTCCATCATTCCGAGGAATCCATGGCTGCATCTCTTCAACCCTCCCTTTCTGCCTCCCACTACAAGAAGTTCCCTAGATTCTGGCCAAATGTGCAATTTTGTCTGTCTTATCTTGCAGCTCTTCCCCTAGCTCCTCTTAGGTGGCACTGTGGGAGAAGGGAGGAAGTTAATATGACAGTTACCTCTTAGAACAGAAGAATTAAATGGATTGGCCAGCCCTGTCTCTCTTCCACCTGATCTCTCAACTTTCCTTTTCTGCAGTTGTAGCTCTGGTACCCCTAATCTTGTCTCCCAGGAAACCACTGGTGAAGCTTCATTTCCCCCGCCTACACTGCAGAAAAGGCTCAGGCCCATGTAGTAGTATGGTTGGCTTTTCTGGTCTGGCTACAGTGAGCCTGTGCTGGATGCTTCCTCTCCCAGGACTTGAGAGAGGAAAGCTAAAGCAGCTGCCACGTTAAGCCCCTTCATCAGGCTTACACATTGTTGTGTAGAAAATATCAAGTGGTAAAGATACTTAGACCTGCCCTGAGGCCTTCCAGTTGACATCAGCCTGGTTACAGTCCCAGAATCACAGAGGACTTGGAGAGAACCAGCCTTCAGGACATGGAGCCCTGAAGGGACTTCCAGGTGCCCTACAGCACTGGCATACATAAGGTGAGAGTCACTGAACCCAGCGTTGGGGGTGGGGGTTGTACGCATGCGTGCACACAAACATGCACATAGTTTGGGGAGCGCTGTAGCTGGACAGAACTTTGTGCTGCTTTCCTTCGCCTCCCACTGCTCCTTCACTTGGCCATAGTTTGCTTTAGGTGTGGGTCTAAGCAGAAAGGCCTAGCCTAGTCCTGGGCACCCTTAGAAAGCACTATGAGATAACTGGAAATCTGCTTTAAAGAGGCGGGGTGTTGGGGACCCCGCATGTATACTCGGTGAGGCAGAGTTGAATCCTCTGGCAGCAGAGAATGGCCTGAAGTAGCAACTTAATCTGCTTTCAACAGAGGTTTAAAAAATCACCAGGGAAATTCTGATAATAGCAGGTAGATTAAAAACTGGGACTTATTCCTCACACATTGGTAACTAAATCAAGCCTTCTGAGTGGGCGGCGGGTAGGGAGAAGGTCATCTTACTGGAGGGAATCTGTGTCTGCTTTAAGCTTACCCCAGTGCTGGGGACGGTCTACGTCAGACCTCCATCCAGGGCAGCTCTGGGGCACTATCCTGCCTTTCAGCTACGTCTTCTCTGTGTCTATGCTGACGACAGTTGCCGAGGCTGTGACCACAATGCCTGATTAGTGTTTCATTCCTGGATCCCAGGACGAAAAAAAAGATTAAAAAACATACGGAAGCCCCTGCGCTGCTGTGGTGCCTGCCTCTATGCCCACTACAGGCGGACTGCTGGCTGTTCTCAGACCAGTGGAATGGAAAATATCCTCCGAATTTAAACATAACTGCTTTCATGGCATGCACCACATGTGCGTGTGCGTGTGCGTGTGCGTGTGTTTTAATCCCAGTGAAGTCCTTTGAGGAGGAAAGGTCTGTGATCCTACTCCAAGAGCCTGAAACAAGGAAGGAGAAACAAACCTGTGAACGAGCCAGGGGCGGTGTCTCACAGCTCTGCATCTCCACCCAGTGCCTGGGTGAGGGCCTGACGCACGCAGCCTGTGGCTACAGGGGGGAAACCGGGGGGGGGGGGGGGGTGTCGGTGTGGCAGGGTTGTCATGTCCATTGCTGTTGCTCCTGCCTTCCTGGCTTGTCTGCTCCACTTTTCCCTCAGAAGAGCAGAATTAGGTAGGAGGAACTGAGATCTGTAGCCAGGAGCTCCAGGCTAAGACCAGCTCCAGGAACTTGAGGCTGGACTAGGGGGATAATTACAGACTCCCAGATTTTGCAGTCAGCTCCATGGCTTGAAAACACCAGCTGACAGCACTTGGAGCAAGCCTCACGAGAGTCACAGCCTCAGTGGCATTCCTGACAGGAGTGGGGGAGAGCTGACCTTGTGTCGAGGAGGGAATGTGTCTGTGTTCTCTGATGATGGCTGGCAACACAATCTCTCTGAGACTTGGGTTCCGTAAGCATCATTATCCATTAACCTTTTATTGCCTCCCTAAAAGAAGCGTAAAACCCAGAGCCAGGCTGAGCGAGAAAGAGATAAGGACAAGAATATCATACCACCTGTTTACATTTATTCAATGCTTTGAACTTTCCAGTGCCTGTTAACATGCATTCTGTCACTGAGCGCTCACAACACCCCTATGAGGTAGGTCAGGCAGTCAGTGATTTGCCTGTAGCCACGCCAGTGTTAGGGGCTGAGTAAACCCAGCCTGGAGGTTTCCTAGCTCCCAGGACGCACTTTCCACTTCATGATACACAGGCCCTTTATGTCAACCAGACAACCAGACATAGGACAGCAGGAGCACTAAACCAGATGTTTCTCTGCTCCCTAAGCCTGCAGAGGGCCACCAGAAGTGTGGGGGCAGGGCGGGGAGTCAGGACCAAGGGTGTCCTCTGGAGGCCAAGACAGGTCAACAGAAGGAAGGGCAGGAGGACTAGAAGTTCAAGGTCAACAGCCACCATGGCCACTACCAGTGTCAATGGAACTTACACTGTGTGCTCTACATCTTGACCTTCGTCAGGTAAAAAGGGCCCACTCCCAGCAAAAGGACGCCTCAAGGCTTGGCTGAGAGGTGCAACTCCTGACCCCTCCCCCTGTCTGCAGCCCCCGAAGAAGGGGAAGGTGAGGGCTGGCTGACTCAGCCTGCAAGTGCTTAGAGATCTGGAGCTGAAAGGCCTCAGCACTATTCAGCTAATGATTATTATTAACTCTGAACAGGCCTTGGCATAGCAGCCAGCTGGCTCAGGGAGAATGCCTGGATCTCCCACAGAGAGGTTTTAAAAACAAGGTCCATAGCAGCCATGCACGGGGGTAGAAGGGTGGGGACAATGAGAAAGAAGGGACTGGCCAGGGTCAAGGAGTGGGGAGGGGTAGTCTGTCCTCTAAGAGGGTGGGGAGAAAGGAGTCACGGGCTGGCAAGAACAGCAGCCTACCTCTGATGCCGCTGAAGCCGCCAAGAAGGTGAGGCTGGAAGACTTCCCCAGACACAGCTCCTGCCATTCAACACCACCCCCGGCCAGGGAGGTGGGGCCGCGGGAAGGGGTGGCTGTGGGAAACATGCGGGCCTGGGGGTGGTATCTGAACCCAGAATGGTAATCCCATTACCATTTCGATTTGGATACAAAACCATCTATGTTTCTAATGTCCTCAAGGTTGAGTTTGAACGTAATCATATTTGGAATCAGGACTTAGTGAGCCTGATATGCAAATTTGTGCAAATGACTCAAAATTTTTAAAAACTTGAGCACCCTGGCTTTTTTTTTTTTTAAAGGTAAAACAGGCTGACTACTAGCAGCTTTCCCTAGCTAGGGGAGAAGGGCAAAAGGGCAGCCATTTGCTTCTCCCCCAGGGCCTCTGCCTCACTGCTGAGGAGCCCAGCTAATATCCCAGTTGGGGAGACACAGGGAGGTGGGGCGGGGGTGTAGATGGAGGGTGCAGAGGGGAGGAAACTGCATATGCAGCCGGCAGCCAATTAGGTCCCAGCTGGAGGAAGAATGCCCTGGCACTGAGGACTAACAGTTGTCCAGCTGCTGCCCCAGGATGTGAGGGCAGGTGGTGATGGAAGGAGAAAGGCAAAGAGGGGAAGGAGGGGGAGTCCCCCCACAGTCTGGCCATCTGGGAAGAAGGGCTCCTCCTGGTGACCTCCTCCCTATACTGCAATCAGACTGGCTAAGCCAGAGGAGGCCACCTGTGCCCTCCTCTCTGCCCTGTGCCCCTGCCCCCCAGGCCTACTGGTCAGAGAGGTGACAGCTGGGGCTCCTTCCTCCTGCAGAATATAAATGACTTCCCCTTCCTCCCAGGGCTGGGAATAGACATCAGCTGGCACTGCCCACGCAAACTGCCGGCTGTCAGCCCGCCTGCCTGCCCGCCCATCAGCCCCCGCACCACCTGGGAGGAGGCAACACCTCAGGCAGGCTCAGGCTTTATGGCATTGCCTGCTTGGCTCCCAGAGCAAGCTGGTGAACCTCACCTGGCCTTCTCACCCTGCTGTAGACAGAGTGAGACTCCCAGCACTGGCTGTGATGTGCAAGAGGTGACCAAAGTGACCCTAGGTGAGAATCTTTTCCACACAGCCCCAGTAACCAGCTCTCCCAATTCAGACCACACTGGGGAGTTGGAGAGGAGAAAGGGCAATGAGAGACAGGAACAACCCCCCTCTGCAAAGCAGGGACCCCCTTTAGATGCTCAGGATCTGGAGAGCTCCTAAGAGATGCCATCTAACCCAGGAGGAGCCTAGTGAGGTCTGCTCAGAGGACACCTGCCCTTGCAGTTTTCATTCCTGTACTGTTGAATCCTACCAACCTCCTTGTTTCTGAGTGGAAGTCTCGAATCTTCAAAAGACCTAGGCTTTCCAATATATTCCCATCTAGGAACAGCTCCCTCTACTCCCAGGACCTAGAGCTCCAGGCCCTACACCCTAGGCCTCCCAGAGTTCCCACTGAGTTCTTTCTACCCACCTCAATACCAGGTTTCCTGGCTCGACCATTTTTAGTCCTTGCCATGATCTATGGGAGTCCCATCTCCCCGACTGAGCCAGACAGCAGTTATCCAGTCTGGCATCCATCCCTGACCATTGAGAGCAGTCTGAGGACCTACTTTCAGTTTGGAACAAGGAGGGGGTCTCTGCAGGGAAGAGGTTCCAGCCTTCATTTGCCACCTGGCACCAAATTCAGCCCCTTCGTGGGCCAAAAAGCTGGCTAGAGACAACAACTGAGGAAAGCTTAGCTGACAAGGGAAGAAGGGGAACCAGGGAGACTTTGTCTTCCCTAGATCAGAAGGGCCCTGCCCCACATCCTTGGCTCTTATTTTGTTCTAAATGCTTCAGAACAGCTCCACAAAGCTATGTGCTAAGGTAAGAACCTAAGCCCTAAGAAGGACAAAACATGAGATGCTCTACCACTGCAAATGGATGTCAGGGGAAGAAGCACACCCGTGTCCTGCAGCCTCAAGCCCAGATCCTGGGGTGAGCGGAAGGAAGTTCTTAGCTGGGCCAAGAAGCCCAGCCAGGAGCCATAGGCTTAGCTAAGCCCTTCTGCTCCTCTAAAATCTTTAAAGTGACTTTAGTGCCTTTACTGTCTTGGAGTTCTGGAGACCCTCACCTGGGCCCCTTGTCTCCATTGCACCTGACCCCTTGTGCTCTGGTCCAGAGGCCAAATAAACACAGATTCCTGAAAGGCCACGAGAGCAGACTTGTCCCTCGAGAGGGGTAAGGGAATGGTGAATGTAAGAATTAACATTCCGAGTCTGCTGAGTGGTCCTGAGCTGGGAGGGTAGTCTGTGACATCAACTTGACAGACACCGAATGTTAGAGATTGTAAAGAAACAATCACTCATTACACAGATGAGGAAACTGAGGTCCTGAGACATGTGACTTGCATAAAGTCATACAGTAGAGTCTACAAGGACCATACCCCATAAACGAGACCTATGGGCTCTCTCCACTACACCGCTTTCTCAAAGTGACCCAAAGAGCCATGTCTGCCATTCATAAGTTACAGGAACTCAACTTTTCATCAGGTATGCAGGCAAGAAGTGGCTGCCAACACCATCACCAGCCCCCCCAACACTTCTGTCACCCATCAAGAGTGGAGGCTTCAGGATCAAGCTCCCCATCACCTTCCACTTGCGCCCAGTACATTTCCCCACTTTGGCCCATTGAGTTATCTGTCAACAATAGCAGTTTGGGTTTCTGCAGCCCCTGGCCCAGCTAAGAAGTACAAAAACCCTACCACTTCTGAAGTGGATCCTTGAAAGTCACCAAAGGAACCACTGAAGTCCAAGTCAAATGTCCCATTTAGATTCAGAGTTCGGAGGAACTCACATTTCCATTTTCTTCCTTGGCAAGTAGGAGCTGGAGATCTGGTGCATGATTACCAGGGCTGGATAGAGGGGCAGCGCCAGGCACAGGTACCAGGCTGCACCTTTGATCTGAGCTTGGAACCACACAGAGTGCATGCCCAGGAGCACGGTTACTGTAGCCATCAGGTAGACCACCAGTCCACACGTCAGATGGTAGAGCTTGAGGCGAGCCACCCTTGAGACCCTGGCTGCTCGGGGACAGAGGAGGCAGAGCCCACACAGTGCCTGACCACCCGTAGCCAGCAACGTCAGAGCCCCTACCCAGCTGTGCCAGGACACCAGGTGGGGCAGCTCACTGCGGGTCCTGCTGGAGACGATGAAGCCCAGGCCCAGGGCTGCACAGAGGATGGCTAGGCTCTGCCCCACCCAATGAAGTCGGATCCGGACCTTTCGGGAGCAGAAGAACAGGGAGTGCTCAGGCGAGAAGAGTAGGATGGCCTCAGCCATGCAGAGGCAGAACTGTGAACACAGGAGAGGGCCAGTGAGCCTCAGGCCCAGCTTGGAGTCCTAAGGGAAAGGAGGTGCCCTCATACATCCAACCAAGGAGGACAAAGGGCTAAAGAACTCCCACCAGGGCTGCTTGCCTCACAGGTCAGCATTTCTGGGCAGAACTGGGAATTCACACTTGAGTGGAAGTCTCATCGTTAAGGCTGACAGCCATGTACCCCCTCCACCTCCTCCACAGACAGACTCTCATTTCTTGACCAATGGGAACGGCAAATGTTAAACTTCCTCCTGAGTTTTGCGGGTGGGAAGTGACTGGATTACACCCCTTCCACTTCCTCCTTTTAGGCTCTAGTGGAGAAAGAAATGGTATCTTCCATGCCCTCTCATCCCCTTCAACCACCTGATTACCTACAGCCCAGCCCTGTTTCCTAATCCATAGGTTGCAAGGGAAAGATGGGGCCTTGGCTGTTCCCCACCACCAACCTCTCTGAGCCTTAGAAAGGCTAAGCCTTCTGAAGGCTGGATGCTTCCTTAGTGGCATATCCAAACAAATCACCTGCAGAAAGAAGCCCAAACTCACCGCCAAGGCCATGAATACAGGGTGCCAGGAGAAAAGACCTAAGAATCAAAGAGAACAGACTGATGGCTGGGCACCATTCTTTCTGCCCCAGTGGCTGGCTGGAACCCAAAGAATCTGGCTAAAGGGGAAAGGTCAGTGTACTGTCTCCAACCCTGATCAGTAATCAGGAACTCGGGGCAAAGTGGAGCTGCCAAAGGGCCTTACGGTGAGCAACCAAGAGGGCAAACATACCAGTTTGGCCTGAGTTCCTCATTCAGCACCTGGCAGCTATCAGCCCAGTCCTGGAATAGACCTCGGCTTCCCTTCTTTTACTTGTATCGTCCATGAGGGACTCTGCTTATGATGAACTAGAGTTCAGTTGGCTTCAGTCGTCTCCTCTCCTCCCAGCACCTAAAGCCCCACCCCAGGGCCACGCCCCACCGCGCCCTTACTTCCCTCCACATCCAGCCCTCCACTGCTAGGGTCCCCACTCCATGCCTTTTAGCGCTCCCAAGTGCTGCCCCTCCAGCTTATAGGCTCCGCCCCCCTCCTTGGCCCCGCCCCTCCGTGCACACTCACTGGTTCCTGGCCGGGACAGCACAGTCAGAAAGATGGTGAAGCCCAAAGCGACCAGGTGCGCCAAGATCCCACTGCCTCTTCGCAGCCAGCGGGTCAGTCTCGCCTCCCTCGGCGGAGCGGGAACCAAACCTACCTCCAGGGGCTCCATGACAGTGCCCGACCGCCGCACTCTCCCAGCTGCCAGGGCGCGTCTTCCGGGTTTGCGATCGCGGAGGCGGCCGTGGCCGCGGTAGAAGCTCCTCCCTGGGAGGCTGCCGGCAATGCGGCGGACTCGCCCACAGCGCCCTCTGGAGGCTGGGGGGAAAGCGCAACTGCCCTGGACAGCCCCGAGGGCAGAAGGCGACGGGACAGCTGGGGGGGGGGGCGCCCTTGTTTCTTCAGCCAACCTCCTTTGTGTGTTTACGTCTACATAGGCTTATGGGGCTTATGTCTGAAGTAGCCTGTGGAAACTACATTTATGGCAACTGATTTCACCCAAATCACAAATCTGGTACACTGAACCAAGAGTGTGAAAACCAGTGTTTTGAGCAGTTTTCCAGAAATATTGGATTTCCCTGGTTGCCCACTCTCTCCTGCCATCCCTTCTGTCTTGTTAAGGGAATAAGATTCCTCCCTGCCTAAAAGCAAGGAGAATGAAAGAAAAGGATAATGCCAAAAACTAGTACACTTTGAAGACCAAAGGAAGGACAGGCAACAGTTGTATCCCTTATCTGTACGGTAGTCGTTTCCCCCAGTGAGACAAACGGAAAAACTAGGGCACTCCCAACCCTTGCCGCCTCCACACCATCTGCTCAGCCCTAGGGATCCAGGTGATCCTGAGGGACCAGGGCCTCCCACACGCCTGCTGCCTCCCACACCAAGGGAAGTTCTGTAAACGATCATACCTTTTCCCTTCCTGCCTCCAAAAAAAAGGCGTGGTTCAGATTAAGGAGGCCTACCTGGGAGGGGCTGCATTCCTTCTTTAAGGGTAAACCCACAGGGCAGGGAGAGAGCAAAACTGGCTATCCCAAAGAAATCAGGGACATCCTGAGAGCAGTTACCAACTCAAGCTTCAGGGGTTGAGAAAATAAGGCTACTACTAAGAGGCAGCACATGAAATCACTTATATGTGGAATCTAAAAAAATGACACAATGAACTTATCTACAAAACAGAAACAGACTCAGACACAGAAAGCAAACTTATGGTTACCAAAGGAGAAATGGGGGAGGGATTAAAAAAAGAGAGAGAAAGAGCAGGAACAGCTGAAGAAACTGAGGCAGTAATTCAGAGATAGGATGGAGGCCTTGGGTTGCTGGAAGACCAGAGAAGGGCCACAGGCTGACTCCCACAGACCCTCAAGACAAAGCTCCAAGAGTAGAGCCAGAGGGGTGGCCCCCCTCCCCCAATGTTTCCTTTTCCACTGGGACTGCAGTTGTCCCTTTGCTCACTTGGAGCCACATGCCTTCTCATCCTAAGACTCCCCCAATGATACAACCGCCCCAGCCATTCCCACAGTTTAAAAGGACAAAAAATATACACGCATAAGGGAGTTTTTCGCAGGCAAGGGATGGGAGCTATAGTCTGCCCATCATCTCAGCCTCCTGGGGTGCGGCTGGGGACAGTAAGGATACTCATTTTGTTACATTTCTTTCCTTCTTTTTCTGTTTCTGTTTTTATATTTTCTTAGCAGCAACAGAACAGGGAGACAGTCTTGAGGTATTTTAAAGAGTTTTTTTTTCTTAAAAAAAATAATATAAAGTTATAAAAAGCGGCAGCAGCCTGGGGCCCGGATCTGGAGGGGAGGAGGTGCTGGCGGCTCCATCGCAGTGGGCAGGCACTTTCTCGTTAATGGGCTTTTGACTGCAGGAAGAGAAGAGGCAAGAGACAGGGTCAGCTGGGGGAACTACTCGTCCTCCTATCCAGTGAATTGTGTGGGCCATAAAAGCTAAGGCTTGATTTTTTCCTGCTGGTCTGGTGAGTAGAGCCAGACAAGAGGGAAGATGAATGCCAGCCCAGCAGAGGCAGCTGGAGAACACCTATGCACACGTGTGATACACACACACTCAGGCCCTGGGCAACTGTCACACTCACTACTCTCATATGGGTGCCAAAGGTGTTGGTATGCACCTGGCCAGTGCCTAAACTAGGAGGGCATCCCCTCTTCCCATTTCCAGTATGTCCCTCCTGGCTAAGATCATATGGCTAGCTCATAGCTCCAGGCCTCCTAAGAGGCAAATAAGCCTGGCTGCTGGCTTTATTAGAAACTCCGGAGAACTTGCCCGGTGCCTGAAAACCTGGCAGTGGGTAATGTGCAAGGTGGGCATACATGCATATGGAGACCTTGGGTTGTGTCCCTGCCCCTTCCTGCCCTGATGCCCAGAGGCAAAACCAATGAACAAGACCCACCCCCCTGACCATGCCCAGCATGTTAGGTGTTAGGCCACAGCTCAGGGACCCAAGCCCAACCCCACTGCCCAAACCTTTCTTATCAGAGCTCATGGAGTCCAACTTCCTTTCCTTCAGGGAACAGAGGTAGCTCCAGTTCCTGGAGTGAGGGCCACAGCCATTTCAGAAAGTGGCCCTTTGATTAAAGCAAAAGCGGGGGAAGGGGAAGAGGCAGAGGCAGCATCTCTTTAGCCCCAAGGGAGAGGGCTGGGGACAGGGGAAAGCACATTAAGCAAAAGCTGGGATCACCCCTCCCGAAAGAAGATGGCCCAGCAACTCTCTCTCAACTTCCCCTATCTGCCCTTCCAGGCACAAACATTTACTCAGCACCCTTTTTGTCAGGTTCCCACTGTGCACTCTACCCACATCCATCCTGACCCTTCCCTTTCCCTGCTCTTCAGGGAGCTGGGCTGGTACCTTCAGTGTAGAACACTTCTCCTCAAAGGCCAGGGCTGGACCCGGCTTCTTGCGGCGCACAGAGCAGGCCGCATCAGCAGGGGCACCAGCCTGGCAGTGCTTAGCCTTCACTGGCCGGCAGTAAGTGGCCAGGTTTTTCCGCTTCTTGGCTACCTCCTCCTCAGAGAGGCAGTTGGTTGGCAGGGCCTTGGCCGGATGTCCAGCCGCTCCCCGGCTGTCCAGCTGAGAAGCCTTGACTGGTGTGGGGGGCTGGTGAGGGGAACCCCGACAGTCCAGGGGCCCTGCCCGCTTCACTCTTGGCCCCACCGTCCCATTAAGCCCCATGCCCAGAGCTGCTTTAGTCTTGGCCGAGAGGCCCCGGCAGCCAGAGGGTTTGCCTTTTCCAGTGGGCTCCAAGATGCAAGTCCGCTTGAAAGTGGTGGGGCCAGGGGATAACTTTCGCTTTCGAGAAGGAGCCTCCACCTCAGGCCCGTCCTTGCCTTTGGATGACTTGCTGGCCTTCGAAGGCGGGAGCTTGCTGAAGGACGGGGATGGAGTGTTGGCAGGCAGTGGTGAGGTGATAGCCTGGCTCCCGCCCATGCACTCCGCCTGGCTGCAGGCGGCTGCCACACTGGGGGAGCCTGTAGGGTAGCTGGGGACAAGGCTGTCCTTGGTGGGGGGCGTAGAGGCTGGGCAGGCAGGTCTGAGAGGTGGGCCTGGAAGGCGGGGGCAGCTGCCTGTAGAGGACGGGCTCAGGGGAGCAGATGGGGGGGAGCTGACAAGGTGGGATGGAGGCTCAGCCGCCGGTGGGATCTTCCTGCAGCAAGAAGAAAGCCCCACTGTGATGCCAAGCAAACAAGAGGGCCTCCCTACCAACATACACCAGTCTCTCTGCCCCACCTAGAATTGGCCCAGAAGAGCCCTGGTAGTGCTGCCATCTGCTGGGAGCTGCTGGAACTGAGGGTTAGGAAGAAGGCACAGGGACAGGCCGGAATGAACCAGCATACAGACCCATTAAGAACCTCATTTTAAATCTCAGGTTGGCCATCCCCTAATCCTAGTAACCCAAAAGGTACTGGAAGTGATGGGTAAGAGTCCAGATTCACTCCCAGACCTATTCATGCCCTGCATTAGCCCAGCTCCAGGCTGCCAAATCTCCCAACCACCTCTTCATGCTACCTGGGTCTTCCTAGCAAACAGCCAAGCCCCAACTATAGGTAGGCATAAAGAATTAGGACCTCTGAAGCCCATGTATGCCTGGGGCTTGGGGAGGGAAGTTCTGGGGCTAAGAGACTCACTTCCACATGTGTGAACTGAGGTGCCGTTCCAGCATGGAGCTCAGTGCCGAGCAGAACCGGTCCAGCCGGCGGCTAAACACGTAGCATCCTGGACTCACCAGTCGGCTCCCAAAGGTGCAGAACTGGAGGTAAAAGGAAGGTACATGGTTGGCAGGGCCTGAAATGCAGGGAGGGCACCTGCACACAGGATCTGACCTCCTCCCCACACTGGGGGCTAGGAGGGCTGGGCCACCTCCCACCCCAGGTCCCGGCTCCAGGTCCTTACCGCCTGTGGCCGAGGGGGCCGGGTTGCATAATGGCAGTCAGTGGGGAGGTGGAGGTCATCAGATGTCCCCTCCTCCTCACTCTCCTCGCTGGAGGCCTGGGCCCCACCCCGGGGCAGGGGGAAGGGGAACAGGCCTGGGTCCCCATCACCACCACAAGGGCCTTCATCATCCAACTCACTCTCAGAGGAGGCCCGGGACCTGGAAGGGCCAAAGGGGATGTGAGGGCGATGTGATGCGAGTGGGTCAGGGTGGGGGATGTCCCTGAACCCGCCAAGCTCAAAAAGCCAGGGCAGACACCCTGCTGGGCAATCAGACAAAGAGGAAGGAGGACAGGAAGGGAGGGAACAACAGAGCTCACAGAGTAAGAGCCAGAAAGATCAGGGGCCACAGCTCCCGAGGGATTCTCTCCCCAGCCCCTTCACTTCCCAGGCCCTGCCTCCTCAGGGGGAAATCTGCTCCAGATTCGCCTCCTCCAGAAAATCTTCTGAGATTAACTGCACCCAGCTCTGGTCAGCCCAGTCAATTTTCTCAACCCCCTTCTTGCATCACATATTCCTGTGAGCCTGTCTGTGAGCTGAGCCTGTGTTTCGTGTCTGCCCCTCGTGTTACAGGCAGAGATGCGTGTGTGTCTCCTTCGGCAAGGCAGGCTCTCCCCGGGGTCCAGCGCAGCCTCTGCACACGAAGGGGCCAGTAAATAAATACACAATAGGACTGCCTCACCCAGGACCCTGACCCTTTTGGCTCCCCAGTTACAACTTTTGGCCTGTTGGAAGCAGCTAGGAAAATGTTTTTATCCTGGATGTTGGAACTGGCACACTACAGAGGCTGGGGCGCTGCAGTATGCTGAGTTAGGAACACCTCCGTCCACTGCCAGGGGTCCCTCCCCCCACACTCAGGGTAGAGTGATCAGCATCTTTCAAGACACTCCCTGGGCCTGTCTCCAGGGGTCCCTGATGGCTTGGGGCCACGTTTCCCCAGGTGGGGTGGGGACTGGATCTTGGACGTACCTGGGCAGTACACAGTATGGGTAGGTCTGCTTGGCACGAGCAGAGAAGGTGCTGCTGGGAGCAGCCGCTGCTGCCACAACCTGGACTGAGGAGGGGGGCTCCTGGGAGGGGCGCTCGAGAGCTGGCTCCTTGCGCCCTGGGCTCTTCTCCTTGGGAGACTCCCCTTTGCGGGAGTTGGCCTTCAGCTCTGCCACTAGCACGTCAAAGTCCTTGGCTCGGCCCTGGACCTCCCGGCGCTGGTGCACTGAGTGGATCTAGAATACAGCAGGGTGGAGGGTGGGGAGGGGGTGTGAGCTGAGCATGGGTGAGGGGGCAACGGTGAGCTCTGGCCTGGGCAAGTGGAGAGAGAGGGTGTGTGAGTGTGTCTGTGGATGTGTTTGTCTTTGTTTCACTCCTCGACAGTGCCAGAACCCCTCTTTGGAAGCCACCCCCTCCCTGCTGTCCCCACCCTGAGCCCACCAGGGCAGACTTCTCTCCCCTTGCCTGGTCTGGGCTTAACCCCCATGGCTTGATCTCACTTCCCCTCCTCGCCCCAGGCCCGTGTCTGTGCTGTTCTCCCTCACTATGCAGTGGGAGTGGGGGTTACCTTGCAGGTCAGCAGGCGGGTACAGATCTTTTTGGTCTCTGGATTTATTACCCCACACTGCCTGTTGAGGTCGCACTCCTTCCCTGTGAAGAAAGCGGTTGCCATAAGCCCCAAGGCCATTTCCAGGAGGCCCATGGGAGGATCTGGCCTCTTCGAGCAAATGGCTTGGGAAGAGCTGGGTCTAAGGCAAGAGAGCCACAGGCCCCCAAGTTTGGGGTCGCAGCCTTCCAGAGAAACTCCTCCAGGCATCGGCAGCTCTCTGCTGGGCGCAAGAACCATCCCATCCCCATGCCCAGCCCAGACACTCCTCTGGGGGCTCCAAGCCCCAGGCAAAGCAACACATATCAAGAAACAAAAGCAGCCACAAGCATCTGGGATGCCAGGGAAACCAGATGTGGGAGGTGTCTGGTGCCCTGGATCTAGGTGAGGAAAGAGATAAAGGTCAACAGCCCAAGGTGAGGACGAATACCTTCACCTTGGACATAGGCTCCCTTAGCCTTAATCAGGAGATCTGAGCTGAAGAGAATCTTGCAAGAAAGCAAGCAGGTCAAGTGTCCACGTCAAGGGATGACCAGGGGCTTCTGTACCCTGGCAACCTGTGATGGCCAGACCCACTCTTTCTTGACCCCCTCTCCATCAGGCCCCAGGACAAAGCAGTCCAAAGAATCCCCACTCTACCTTCCTGACCCCAAGACCACGACTACTCACGAGCCATCTTCCGGTGGGTTTTGGGGGGAAGCCTGGCCCCACCAGGCTCCTTTTCAGGGGGGCTGCCTTCAGCCCGGTGACTGGGGCCCTCGTTGGGGGTTATCTCGATGCTCTCTCTGCCAGGAAGTTCTTTAGAAGGGGACACCATGGGGTTTTTTCCAGGGGAGTCCTTGGTGAGGCCGCCAGGCTGGCTGAGGAAAGCAGAGGGCGGGGCCACCCTGATTCCGTGTCCATCAGGCTTCGGGAGACTGGACATCTTCTCCAGATTCACCACAGGCACGAAAAGGCTATACGTGGAGAGAGGGTGTAGGCTGGGAGGTAGGGAGGCTGGGCCTGGGCCCTGGACTCTAGCCCAGAGCCATCTCCTTTCTTGGCCCTGGGACTTGGGTGGGCTACTGCAGGGGTGCAGAACATGGGAAAAGGGGACCCCATATTCCCTGAGGCAAGGGTCTGGGAGCTGCAGAGAGAGCTGGCAGCCTCCTGCTGTGAGCAGTGCCCATCACCCTACAGCTGCCTCAATTTCTGTCAACCCCTCCCTGGGCTCGGGTCAGGGCTGGTCTTAGGGAGTCTCCAGCCTTTCCTTACCAGAGGCTGTCCTTCTGGGTCTTCTCAGGAGGCTGGTGGCCACGGCTGCGAGACCCCTGGCCCTTCTCCCTGGAGGAGGTTTTGGTAGAACCTGGGGCTCTACAAGCTGGGCCCTGCCCATTCACTACATGGCATTTCTGAGAGCTGGCAGGGGCTGGAGGTGGGGGTGGGGCCCGGGCGTAAAGCTTGCTGAGGGGCCCATGTCTTCTTTCTGTCACCAGGAGGTGGAGAGAGTAATCGAGGTGAGTGGTATCAACTGCCTCCTTCCCCAACCTCCTGACACTGCTCACAGACTCATGGTAGAGAATCTGGAGTTCTCAAAACTTAGATTTTAAATTTTATCTCCTTCCCATTTGAATTTGAGCCTCCAAGACTCAAAATTCTAGAATCCAGCTTCTTGAACCTCTTAGCTCTTCTCAAATGCTAGAACTTTACCCCCATCCCAGATGCTAGATGTTTGCTTAAACAATAACCCCAACTCACTACCATCTCTGAAGCCCCTCCCACCCCAGATCTTCCATATTCCCAAAGCCTCCCTCAGTTACCCACATGACCTCCCAACTGACCCCATCCTCAGAGTTCCATGTTCCATCTTCCTCTGTCCCCTCTATCTCCTCCCTAGGGCTCCCCAGTATCTCCTCCCTAGGGCTCCCCTCACCGCAGTGCTTCTGGAAAGCTTGAGGCTTCACCACTTGGCTGCAGTGGTTACACACAACCAAATAGAAGTCGTCATGGGCAGGGCAGTGCCCAAAGATGGACATGTCTGCAATGACAGAAGCCATTATCACTGGGGCTAGGGACCCCAGGGTTCCCCTGTAAGAGCAGAGAACAGTCCCATCCGCCGCTCAAATGACACTTCCCCTCCCAGGTGATATGACAGGCTTTATCCTGGACACTCCCAGCTTCCAGAGTTCAATCTAACCAGTCCCTAAGAATGTGAGCTTTCAGGTGAATGAGCACCAAACACCTATGATTAGGATCTCCCACAATAGGTCACAGGAGCCCGGGGAATGGGCTGACCCAGACCTATCAAAGCGAGAATCCCCAGACCTGTGGCTTCAAGCAGCCACCTCCTGGGATGTGGCAGAAGAGAGGAAGGTGGTCCTGTCTGCCCTGGGCCCCCGCCTGAATGTGTTGACTCCCACCTTCTTTAATGAGGGTCATAGCATCCAACTTCTTCGTGTTTTTGTTACTCTCCTCCAGCTCAGCCCCTGGAGGAGAAACACAGCTCAGAAGGACCACTCCCAAGCCAGAAGCCCCATCTCCAACCCAACCACGGCCTGCAGCTAAGCAGTAGGAAGCCCTCACTCCTTGACAAGCACCTCGTGCTCAGGATCGCTTAGAGAACCTTTCAGTGGATCATTCTCAAGTACCCCTTTTCCTTCACCTGCTACCTCCAGAATGAACTGGCCCCACTGGGAGGGATCCAGCCACCTTTCTTGTGGATCCTTCACTCCAAGGTGCAGTTCAGGATTCCACTGATGACTAGTTGGGTGACTATGGATAATTATCTATTTTCTGGGCCTGCTTCTCCATTTAAATGGGAAACAATCCTTAACATATTTTAGTATAGATCCCCGAGTCTCTTGAGATTTTGCAGATGGGTCCCTTCTGCTATTCTGTGGCATCCCAAACAATCTTCCAGGTCCCCATCCCCAGTTTTGTTCCAGTTGGGTTGCCATGGCATTGTCAAAGTTACTCCCAGCTTCTCAGGTCCTGCATTGCCAGGATGGTCATAGAGCAGAGAAACCGCTGTCTTAGGGCCCTTCAGCATCTTCAAAGTCCCCTTGGTCAGTTACAAAAGCCCTTTTCCTCTTAAGGGGGGGGGGGTTTGGGCAAGGGCTGCCCTTGTACCTCAGTTTCTGGGTTGATGACAAAAACATCTTAGCTGTGCAAAGCAATTCTTTCCCCATCCCCCTACCTTACTCCTCACCCCTCCCTCCTCTACGCCCCCTCCCTGTCCCTTGGAAAAAAAATCAATTCTGAGTCACCAAACCCGTCTGATTCCATTTCCGGTTCTCAATGCACCCAGACCCTGACAATGGCCCCATCCTTGCCCACCCAGCATGGGGTAGTTCTGGGGTGACCTGAGCTCCCCCCACTTAGGTCTGCTTCTGACACCTACTAACAGACTCGCCCCTTTTTAGAAGGCTAAGAATACTGACAGTCTTATATAATCTCCAGATATGAGGGGTGGTGGGTTAGGTGTGCAAGAGACAAGGGGCAGCTCCCACTCTTAAGTCTGTTAAAATGCAGTGATGGACAGAACTAAGCTGGGAGTTGGACGTCTCAGAGGAGAACAAGCGTCATCAGAGACCGCTCCATGTGGTCTCCTCCTCCACCTCTTCTCACTTGCAAACTTCTTCAGGGGCGTGATGCCTGCTGTCACCCCAAAGGCCACGAGGCCAGATGCCCCCTGGGGCCCAGGAGACAAAGATCAGGAGAAGAGACTGTCAGCCCGCTCACCAAAAGCACTCAGGGGCCTAGAGAAGGTGGGGGTCAGGAGAGAGAGCCTAGGAGGCAGGGCAAGAGGCCCGGGAAAGGACGGAGGGTTGGAGGCATGGATGGATGGACGGAAGGAGGGAAGAAGGAAGGATGGATAGATGGATGGACTGACTAATGCGGAGGTGGCGGGGGTCCAGTGGCACTGCAGCCGGCAGGCAAACGCCGAAGAGGAGCAGGAGGTGTGGGGCAGAAGGCGAAGGAACGGGGTGGGGGCGGGGAGGTTGGGAGGGGACACACAAGTGGGGTGCGTGGGAAACACGTGGAGAGGACTGTTGCAGATGGGGAAAGCCCGAGGCAGGTGCAGGAGGGGCGGAAGCTGGAGGGCAGCAGGCAAGGAGAAACATAAAAGCAAGCAGATGTGGGGGCAGGTACTGGGCAACGGCAGAGGCAGAGGTGGGCAGGGTGGGCTGCTGGCGGTGAGCCGGCGCTAGGACCCGGAGGCGCGAAGGTGGAGGAGCGGGCGGGCACTAGGACCCGGCGGGTCCTTTGTTTGGGGGGCCGGGGAGCCGGACGGCGGCTCCCGTCGGTGGCTCCCCTCCGCTGGTGGGGGCCCGGAGGGGGGGAGGGGAGACACTGATGGGGTCCTCGGAGTCTAGGGGAGCTTCACTCACCGTCGGCCGCGGGCAGCTCCGCCCGCTCCACCCACGAGCTCCAGCTCTGTCCCGCGAAGTCATCGAGACTCGGCACCCGCCGCTCCAGAGCGGCCATTGCTGCCGCCGCGCGTT